GTAGGGAACAGGGGTTAGACAGAGGGGCAGGAGCTCCCAAACCGAAATGAAGGGACCTTTGGGATGATGTCCGCACCAAGAGTTGAGAAAGGCGGGACCAAGGGCAGACGACTGGCCAGGAAGTGTCCTGGGACAGCCGTCCGGGGACACGAAGCTGGCTGGAGCAACTTCCAGCAATGGCAAGCATAGGGGATCCCTGGCACCCGGGCGCTAGTACAAAGGCAGGAGGGAGGCTGTTACTACTTCTTCCCCGGAGAAGGGGAGCAGCTGTGCTGGTACCAAGGATTCGGGCGGTGGCATGGGAGGAAGAGGAACTGGCTGGTGAACGTCTGGAATTGGAGATAGGCTGGCCCGGATAAGGATGGCGCGGGGCAGGGGCTGGCCGTGAGGGGAGATGCAGGGTCAGACGGCGGTGTCACAGGCAGCTGTGACGGCCTGGAGGGCTGGCTGTGGTGATCGGGGGCGACAGGGCAGACTCACCGTCCTCTCCCTCCTCTTCCACCTGGTCGGCCCAACTGGGCTTCGAACTGCGGGGACAAGTTGGCCAGGAGGAGGGCTGGGTGAGGCGCGGCCCGGCTCCCGCGGCCTCGGAGCACCCAGGCTTCATAATACCCCCTGGAACGCCCAGTCCGCCTCCCAAGCCGCCCTCCATGACCCACTCACTCGAAGTCTCCGGTCGGCATTGGAACACCTTCTCCACGCAGCCCAAGCCTGGACCAAAGACCGGAAGTGAGAGGAGCACGAGACTCCCGATTCCGCTGCCTAGAGCAGCCCGACCTCCGTGCCCCACAGCGCCTCCCTACGGACGGAGGTAGAGGCGCCGGCTGTGTGAGAGGCTGGTCGCTGGTACCCTGCTAGGTAGCTAAATAGAAGCGCATCTCATTTACGTTTTTAAAAAAATTAAAAATTAATAATAACAACAAAGCTAAGTTATTGAGCTTTCACTGTTTGCAGGAACTGTGGGGAGAAATTATTATTTCCATTTTGCAGCTGAAGGAACCAAGGCTGGTCTTCCTTGTCTGGAAAGAGCTTTCCGGATTCAAATGATCAAGATGTCGTGGCCCCCTCAACCATTCTTCCTCCT